GTATCTTCATTGTCATCATCATCATCATCATCATCATCACAATAATAACAGTGATACTACTACTAATAATAGCACTTTAAGGTTTTTTACAAATACCCCATTTTATCCTCACAATAACCCTAGGAAGTAGGTGCTATTGTTATCCTTATTTTGTAGATGGAGAAACTGAGTCAGACAGAGGTTAAATGACTTGCTCCAGGTCACACAGCTACCGAGTATCTAAGGCTGGATTTGAACTCGGGTCTTATTGACTCCAGGTCCAGTGCTGTATCCATTGCGCCACCTCTCAGTGGCTAACATTTGAGTTGCAGAACCCTTTGAGGCTGTGAAGTGTTTTGTTATCTGCATTTTTACGGATGAGACTGAGAGAGGCTAAGTGACTTTTCTAAGGTCACACCACTAATAAGTATTTCAGGAAAGACAGGAACTCAGCTCTTCCTGACTCCTAGTCTACTCTTCTGTTCACCACAACAGGTTACAAGTTGTGTTTTTCCCTCTACCATTGTAAATGTGTAATCTCTGCAGTAAGGGAAATCACTTAACAAATACACTGAAAAAGACAATTTTATTCCTTAAAAAAATTCCCAAGTTTTGGTGCATGTTGTAAAACACATTTAAAATTTGTGGATTTTGTTACAATGTAACCATCCCCTCCCCTGCACTTCTATGCTAGTGCAGAGTGTGCTCATATATTTGCATTCAGGGCTTCTTTTTAAGTGGCTTTCATTAAGTTGATCAAGTGATGATTTTTGTCTTACTGTCCCAGCACCGTACAGCCTGTTGGATTTTCTTTCATTGCCCTGAAATGTAGGTGAGTGACCAATGGATAGACATCACCCCAGGAAGCACTAATAGAACACGGATTTCTTGAGGGCAGGATTGAGCTGTTATTTTGTCTTTTATCCCCAGTACTAAGCATAGTGTTGTTCAGTTGTTACTCACTTATGTCTGACTCTTCATGATTCCATTTGAGGTTGTCTTGGCAGAGATCCTGGAGTGGTTTGCCATCTCCTTCTCCCGCTCATTTTACAGATGAGGAAACAGAGGCAAACAAGGTTAAGTGATTTGCCCAGAGTCACACAGCTAGTAAGTGTCTGAGGCCAGATTTGAACTCGGGAAGATGAGTCTTCCTGACTCCAGGCACTCTTATCCACTGTGCCACCTAGCTGCCCTTACATAATAGTATATTCACACTTACTAGATTCCCCAAGAGTAGAGATACAAGAGAGACTGGTGGAGAGGGAAGAAGGCTGTAGAAGTCAAGTTTGTGGAGAATGTTTATTACTCATCTGCACAGATCGGATGACAGTGGATGGAAGGGGAGGGGAGTAGGGAGGGAGTTGAAGCTTTGGAAGATAAGTAAAGGAGAATAATGAACTGAAAGGAAGGTGCATCTTAAAAAAAGTACTTCCAGTAATTGGCTATTGCTTCCCAACAAGCTGCAGGAAGGTCCCAGAATGACCTTCTCAGCAAGCCAGGTGATTTTCTCCAGCTCTTTAAAGACCTCAAGAGGCTTCGTTCAATATTTGACTGTAAATTGGGCACCTTCCAGTAGGTTATCAGTTTTGGGAACCGCGCTTTTCCAGGTTCCCATGCTGCCTTCAGCCCATGTGTTTCTTAGATCGTCGGTAAGGACTTCTGTCTGCCAGGTTGTGGTTTTAATAGTGTCCTAGTCATGTCAGGCCACTCCCGGCCCCCAGATCCTTATCAGAGAGTTAGGGGCCATGGCCATGTTCATACATGGATATATAGAGATGACGAAGTGCTGAGACAGCATTGCCAACAGCAGAAGGGGCTATCTCTGCAATTACTGCTGTGATACAAATGCATTTGTACATGAAGTACATTGGTATGCGCATATTTATCTCTGTGTACATTAAGAAGCCAGACATATTTATAATTTATCTATGCACATATATTTTTGGAAATAATCTCTGTCAATTGCAATACATATCTTATAAATGGCATCTCACCTACCTCCCCAGCTTCTGCCTTATTAGTTGGAATGAATTTGGGCTCTCTGGAGGTGTTCCCCCCCCCAACTTGGGTGCTAATTTCCAATAAACTGTTCATCGATTGTCCAAAGTGTGGGTGTTTTAGGCAAGTTTTGAAGGGAGAGAGAAATAAAAAATGGTCACACTTCAAGCTGCAGTGCAGCAGCTGGAACTATGATCTTCACTAATGTGGGCACTCCTTCCAGCAACACCAACCACAACCCACCCAAACCTGCCCATTCTGTGCCTGTCCTGTGACCGGAAAATAGCCAACATAACATGGCATTTAAGCAAGGGTCTTCAAGTTGACTCCAGTGGGATCTTGGGTTTGGTTCCTTTAAGATACAACTAAAAGAGATGCTGTTAGGAGGCTTTAATCGGTGCAATGAGTAGACAGCAATGAGAATCAAATGAACTAGGAAGGAAATCCCAAATCTTGACCATTAAGTCATTGGCATACAATGTTTCCTAACCCCAGGCAGTATTGCTTCTGCTGGATATGCAAACAGCTTCACCAGAATGGCTCTTCTTTTCTGTACCAAAGCAGAAAGGGAGGCATCGGGATTAAATACTCTTGATATGATCAGGGTAGTAGGCCACATCAGATCAGGCAAAGACTCTGTCTTTGTTTCCATGCAACCTTTCTGTCTCTTCTAAGATAAACCACAAAGAGGCTATGGATTGTTTTTGTGATTTCATCAATATAGGGATATCCCAAATGAGGAAACTTTTTCTACCAACGATTGGTAGCTTTCTGGCAACTTAGATTGTAGTCCCAAAGAGTTGCCTAAAGTACTCAGAAGTTACTGGATTCATCCAGGGTTGTAACTAGTATATATCAGAAGGGGGACCTGAACCCAGGTCTACCTGGCTTTGAATTCAGCTCTCTACTATTCCCAACAGATGATAGTTAACTAGCCAGGTAGAACATTTATTAAGGGCTTGCTATATATCAGGAATTGTGCTAAATGCTGGGAATAAAAAAAAACAAGCAAAAAATGCAATCCCTACTCTCAAGGATCTTACATCCTAATGGTGAGGAAGAGATAGAAGGCAGCTAGAAAGTGGGAAAATCTGGAGAATCAGAGTGGAACTTGGAGTGATGTGAGCATGGATGGCCTGGACACCTCTTGCAATGCTGGTGCAGGGCAGGAATTCAACATGAATTCAGAGGAGAGGGCCATAAGGGAGGAGGTATCTCCAGGGTGAGAAAGCTGCTGGGGTAGAACTGGAAAAGTCTCAAGTGGAACTAGGACCGAAATGAAGATTCTCACTCCAGACAGTAGGAGGAGAACAAAAATTTTGGACCTGGCAATCAAATACCCTCTAGAAACATTTATTTCTTGTAGACTTGGGCTTCTTTTTAAATAACTTCTGGAAGTCTTGATTTAAAAAAAACATTTTCCAACTTTTTTTTATTCATTTAAACAAATGGGTAGTGCTTAGCAGCAGTGTGGCAATAAGGGAGAATGTAAATGAGCCTTTTGTCTTTACCTCATGGTGAGGTCCTAACTAGTGAAGTTCTTGGCTAATTCTTTGTTGGTGGTTGGTGAGGACATTCTCTAGGGAAAAAAAAAAGGTTAAAACCAAACTGTGGATGTGGGGACTCTCCCCACCTTAATTCTGTATGTTACGACCTTCTTCGGTTACCTAGGCTTTGATAACAATACCAGAAAGCTCTGAGACGAGTATTGAGCAACATGGGTTCAGTTGGTTAATGGTTGTCTACAAGTTGAGTACCAGTGATGGTTAAGCAATACTTTTTTATGTCAGGAGATATTATTCTTTTAGCTCCACCTCCTCCAATATGTCAGGAAGGTCATTTTAGAAGAGCTCAAATTCCTGTCTTTGTAAAGAAACCAGAAATCAAGTGTCAGAGCCTACGCATGAATCATTGCTGGGTGATTCCACACAGATGATGGCTGTCAAGATGTGTGGGAAGGGAGCAAATTTGAGCAGTATGAGATTGGAAGGAGTATAGTGGAGCTGACCTGGGCCCCTGAAGTCTCTCTCCCTTTCAAGGCTAATATCATGTTTATAACCAAACTTTGCACGTTGAGCTTTCTCTCTTAATGCACTGAGCTGCACGATAATTTCCAGAATAATCCTGAGCCTTTTTTTCCCCCTCATTCATTCAAGTTATGCTCTATCAGGATGGAGAAGGCAAGGAAGAGGAGAATAGTATAAGTAAAGCAGTGGTGGCTAGCTAGGACTCCATTCCAGATAGCTGAAAATCTTTGGAAAAGTTAGTTTTCTACCCCATTCTATAGGCCTATATTATTATCTATATTAGATCTAATTAGAGAGGATCCTTGGCCCATGACTTTCTTCTTTCTCTTATCTCTCTAGGTAGATGGTATGGAAGGGTTAAGTTTGTCAATCTCTTAATGCCCTTAAGGCCATCATGGGCTTTACCTTCCCAGAAATAAAGAATGGCAAGGAACTCTGAACAAACTTAGGCATAACACTCATTGCCTTTATATATGACCCCTGTGTAGTGCTACTCCATGGATAATGAAAAATCGTTATGGATGCAGCACATTCATCCTGGGGTTGATTAGGTCACCTTTCTCTTGTGGGTGGCCTGACTGGCATTATCTTGCTCCAGTTCTCAAGATTTGTCTAGTTCCATGGACAGTCATAAGACTGAGGAAGAAGTTGCAAGTTGCATTGGAGTCCACCTCCATTTTCCAGGAAGACTGAGATGAGATGAATTAACCACTGTCCCTTTCCCAGCTTGGAAGTCACAAAAAGGATACAGTCTTGCTGGCAATATGGCATATCTTGGGGCTTCGCATAACCTCAACAGTTGGCATCTTTTATTGCTTGCTCTATTCTTCATACTACTAACCAAACTATGTTGTTGTGTTTTTTTTGTTGTTGTTTTTAATTTTCATTTTCATTGGGGGGAATTGCTTTGCATGATGTCCTTCCTCTTGGCTGAGAGTTGCGGGGATTGATCCTTTTCCTTTCTATGATTCAGGTGCCTCACTCTTTCCTTTTCAGGTTCTTCCAGTTCTTTTAACATGTCAAACTCTGGAGATTTGTTCATGAGCGTGCAGTCACTCAATGGGGATTCTTACCAAGGGGCCCAGGTTGGAGCCAACGTGCAGTCACAGGTAGGGACCCAGCCAATGTACTGCCAAGAAAATGTGAGCCCTCCATGGTATTGGCAATTTCCCACACCTGTACAGAGAGAAAGATAAAAAAATCAAACCAACCAACCTCACCACCAAACCAAAACAAAAATAAAAAACGAAAATAAAAATAAAATCAAAAGCAACAACAACCATTGTCTTGGGGAATCTCGTCCACACTTTGTGAATGCATTTGGCTCTGGCTTGACAGTTATGCTAGGAAGGCAGGAGAGATGCTGCAGGGAAAACAGTCAAGGTATTCCAATGCACACCTGGCAAGTGGAACCGACCTATGTGTTCTTTTTCACTAAAGGAAAGGAATGAGGAGTTCAAAGTGTTCTCTCATATTTCCAGGTTTCCTTCACTTTCGTTGGACACCAGAGCTCTCAAGGTCTACTTAAAAGGAGGAAAAAATAAATAAATGGGCAAATATATGAGTATGTTGTGTTTTCATTCTTAACCAAAAAGCCACCCACTCCAGCGCAATAGACATTTTTCCTTGATCACATTTGGAGAGGAGGGACTTCAGTTTCTTTTGACAAGTATACTTCCATGTTTGGAAACAAATCTAGGAACTCAGTGCTTCTCAGTAAACAGGAAGCCTTTTCTTTTCTCCAATCATGATGCTCTCTAAAAGGGGTAGAAAATTTCTGGGAATTTCTGATCCAGATGAATCCAGTTCCCCACTCTGGATGCAGATCCGGAAGCATCATTGTCTGAGGCTGGCCAGCTTGTTGGTGACCTAGCTGCTGGCTTGAGAAACATTGCCCTGGAAATACGTTTGGAACAGATTCTGGCCAAATGACCAAAAAGTTGGCTATCCTCTGAAATGACTTCCCAAGCCCTCTCCAATCAGCGATCTGGCTTTGAAGAACATTGAGGAATTGAAAAGCTATGTAGCCTAACCTACAGCAAAGGGAAATGGGTAAATGCTTCACTACTCTTTCCCCTGTTCACATCTTCATGTGCTTTCTTAATGAGTCTGCTTCCCTCTTAGTGAGGTCAGCTGCTTTTCATCTCTCTCCTTGTGGTCTCTTTACTGATTTCAGAATTGTATTCAAAGCTGATGATGAAGTGACTGTGGGCATTTCCCTCTACTGAATCCTGTGTTGAAGAAGGGCACCCCTCAAAATGATGACACTGGTTTGGCATGTCCAAAATATATCCTGCCCGATGATGGTGATGATTATGATGTTGATGGTGATGATGATGTCTTTCTCTTTCGCTAATTTTCTTCTTTGTTGTTCTTCATCTGTTTAGGTGGATACCCTTCGCCATGTTATCAGCCAGACAGGAGGATACAGTGACGGACTTGCAGCCAGTCAGATGTACAGTCCGCAGGGCATCAGTGTAAGAAAAATAGGCTTTTTTTTCCCTTTTTCCTCCCTTCCTTTTTCATTCTATCACTACCAATTATTTCAAAGCCATGGGGCTCAGAATGCCACTTAGTAGGACTTGTCTTAGTTTTACGGTCACCTAGTTTATTGCTTCTGTATTGGTCATGCCAGCGGCAGCATTCTACCCACAAAAAAGTGGGGATCGGGCAGGCTTCATGCAGGCAGCTGGCGTCTAAGGCTGTCAGACACAATCAGTGTTTGCATGGCACCTGCGGCCACATGCATTCAGCTGAGAGGAGCTACTAAACAGGTGACACCTAGTACAACAGTGGTAGAAAATGTCACCACAGACTGAGGCCTGGGAACCCTGGCAAGAGAGCCAGTAGCCAGAATCCATTGCAACCAGGGCCACTGTCTAGAAATAAACCTTGCTCCAGTCAGTCTGTAGCAAAAAAAAAAAAATTAAGATGGTGAGGGGGTGGGGTGGGGGGACGACAAATGAACCGTCTTCTTGTTCTTGGGTGCGCTGGCGGCTCCCGGAGAGCATGAAAATTCATAGCGACAAGCTATATCGCACAGAGTGAAATCGATCAGACAGACACAAGGAGAACCGAGTGTAGATTTGGGACAGCAATCCAACTTCATTTCTCAGATCAATCGTCCGCCATCTCAGCAGCAGTGACAGCAAGCTGGGACAAGAGGGCAGCCTGGAAAAGGAGGCTGTTCTCTGGATTGGGGGGTTATTTTCTGGGCTTTTAGAGGTCACTGGAGGCTCAGGCGGAGGTGGCTCAGAACTTGAAAGATTTTTATGGGTGTTTGTTTTATTATTGTTGCTGTTGGGATGGCTGCAAATTGGAGAGCGATGAAGATAAAATCTTTGGGGAGGGAGGAATAGAGATGTGTTGTTTGCTGTCTTCTTTAGTCAGGTGTCCTCTGCCTTCTGCCCATATTGTACATCAAGATCTCTTTCTAGTTGTGATGATCAGAGAACAAGGTTGACCCTATTGGGCGTTCTCATTGGATAGTCAGATCCTTTCCATGGAAGGGTATCAAGAAGTGAAGGTAGGCAGAAGAGCCAGCCTTCGGGTTCCCTCTGTCTTTTCAAGGGTTCTACGAATGGCTGTTTCTCCAAAAGTCAAGGCAAGATATCCAAAGAGGAAAGCCTTCTGTGTAGGGGAAGTTGTTATCTACCAATTGAGCTGAGAATAGGGGAATTTGGAAGGAGGAACAGTCACAGAATTGCAAAGTGTGTCTATGCCCGCACCCAAGCACACATGTGCCTCTCTGTAGGCTTGAATTTTTTGTGAGATAAAGGATGGATTTCCCCAAGGGATCTTTGCATTTTGGCATATAAGAGGGACTCACAAAGAAATCAAAACATAGAGACAGGAACATGGGCACACCCAAAAAAGGGAGCTACAGAGAGCGCATGTGACTTGGAAGGGAATGTGGCTAACCACTCTTCTCTTTGGAGCTTTTCCTTCCTAATTGGGTAGCAGAGAAGAGAGCAACATTCAGGATCTCAGGTTCATCATTGACCCCTGACGTCATCTGGCGGAACTGGAAATCATTTCCGAAGTAATGTAACTGAACATGTGCAGACAATTATGTCTGATTACATAAGGCTGCTGCAAAAATGGGGCTTGGAAATGTCATTTGAAAGAATCTATCATTTTTCATTAATTTTTCTGTGAGCTGTATTTACTCCATTTCTAGCTTTTTAATATACAGAAGAAATGAGTCAAAGTCTGATCATGATAAGATATGATACTTGGGTATCAATTTTAAATTGTCTCACCCCCACCCCACCCAGGAGACTTAAGCTTATTATGGGGAGATACATTTTCATAAAGCAGTATTTTGTGTTAAGCTGAGTAGTGCGTGCGTGTGTGTGTGTGTGTGTGTGTGTGTGTGTGTGTGTGTGTGTGTTAGAGAAGGAAATGTATATGTAGGGGAGTAGAGTATTACTGCCAAGAGAAAAGAGAGAAAAAAAATGAGTAGGGAATGAAAGAGACAGAAACAGGAATGAAAAGTTTGGAGCCAAGAAATGAAAAATAAACAAATCCTTAAACTACACACAACCATGGAAGCATGCCGAGCTCCAGACAATACCTACGCTCTGGGAGTGAAGCTCGGGAGATAGGGTTTCCGGGTTGGCTGTCTCCCCCTCTGTTAGTGGGGGCTTCACCCACATTCTATCCATCTAGTCTCCACACAGGGCTGCCTGAAAAGACATAGCTATGACTAAGACAGCAGGATGGGCTTCATCGTGGTGGCTCTGTAGAAGTCAGGATGCCCAGTTTCTGTCCCCCAATTATTAATTAGCAATAAGATAAGCCATATATTTAACTTCTTACCTACAAAATGGGGATAACAACTCCTTCTGCAATAATAGGAAGGAATACCATTTATTTTTTAGAAAGCATTGCAGTTTAAAAAGCCACGTACACAAATATACATGAATATATATGTATTCACATAGGCACATATAGATATATATAACATACACATACACTTAATACATATATTACATTAGCAGGATGTCTCCAAAATTTTAGTATAGCTTTAATTATCCTCCTCTCTTCTCTCTCTCTCCCTCTCTCTCTCTCTCTCTCTCTCTCTCTCTCTCTCTCTCTCTCTCTCTCTCTCTCTCTCCCTCTCTCTCTCTCTCTCTCTCTCTCATATGTATGCATACATACACACACACACACACATATATCTATATACACACATATACATATGTATGAGAGGTGTGGGTGGGTATATCTACATTTATCTATCTATGTTTATAGATAAATAGATAGATAGATAGATAGATGTTGTGTGAGTTTATATGCTAGGTAGCACAGAATAGAATGCCAGGCTTGAAGTCAAGAAAACCTGAGTTCAAATGTGACCTCAAACATTTACTAGCTGAGTGACCTTAAGCAAGTCACTTAACCCTATTTGCCTCATTTTCCTCATCTGTAAAATGAACTGGAGAAGGAAATGGCAAGCCACTCCAGTACCTTTGCCAAGAAAACCCCAAAATGGGGTCACAAAGAGTCAGACATGACTGAAAACGACTCAGCAGCAGTAGTAGCAACAACGAATTCATCTTTCTATCTGCCTATCTAGGTATGTGTGAGTGTGTATGCACATATCTATAGAAAATACATCATGTGTATACACACACACACACACACACACACACACACACAAATATGAGCCTCACCAACCCTGCCTCAGTGGGTGGAGTGTAATCTCAAGTAGAATGCAGACTCTTTGAAGACAAGTACTATTTTCTTTGTTGTCGTCCTATCACCAGTAATGAAGTGCCTCATACATGCTTAATACTTTTTTACATCACATTAAATAGTTGTGAGAGCCCAATAGAAAATAGATGTAAAAGCCCAGAGATAAGGTATAAGCTTCTGTGACAATGTATTGAGTTTCTGTACGTTTTCTTTTGTCTGAATGGGTTTTTCAGAACTCATCAGTGTTTTATGGTGAGGATTGATTAAAGTAAAGGTTCTCTGCTCTCCCCTCCCCCATTTAAGTTTATACCTGTGGGGTTCCCACAAAGTCACAGCCTAAACACCTCTTCCTTGGTTTTACATCTTTTTATCTACTTCCTTTTCACCAATGACGATAGGCAGAGATGACTCTGTTAGAAGTAACAGAAGCCACAAAGGCCTGGGCTCTCCTCCTTTGCCACCTCTCTCCTCACAGCTTTCTGCCTCTGAATTCCTACCCATCTTCTAAAGCCCAACTCCAATGAGACCGCTTCCCATTTCATGTACGTTATCTCATTTCCAGTGTTATTAATACTAGGTTTCATTTGTCAGTAATCTGTATTTCAGTGTTTTTTTAGTAATTCAGTAGAAATTTTTACTCCAAATGAATTCAGATTATTTGCTTAGATAGTTTTATTGTTTGTAACCTTTTTAGAATTTCCTTGGGTTCAAAAAATCCAAAATCCAAAAAATTCCAGCTTTCTGACTCTAAATTCCTACCCATCTTCTAAAGTCCAACTCCAATGAGACCTCTTCCCATTTCATGTACATTATCTCATTTCCAATGTTACTTATACTAGGTTTCATTTGTCAGTAATCTGTATTTCAGTGTTTTTTTAGTAATTCAGTAGAAATTTTCAGATTATTTGCTTAGACAATTTTATTGTTTGTGACCTTTTTAGAATTTCCTTGAGTTCAAACCCCCCCCAAATCAAAAGCAAACAAGATGACACCTTCATTTTCTTTCTTGTTACTTTTATATCAGAAAGCCAGTTTTAGCCAGCTGTCCTATTTCTATAGCTTGCAGCTCTCAGCTTTGCATATGGAGGATATGAATAATTAAAGCCTCAGGTTTTCTCCCACCCCAGTTTTATTCAGTACTTCAACCTTAGAATTGGCAGTGACCTTAGCATCATCTAGTCCAACCTGTTCACATGGTATCTTATGTATATCATCCACAGCAAATTGTCAGTTAACCTTTGGTTAAGCATCTCCAGTGACAGTGGACTCACTACCTATCAAGGTAGCCCATTCTTTTTTTTTTCCCCACAGTTCTGTTAAGAAGTTCTTTTATTAAATAAAATTATGCTGTTGTAGTTTATATAGCAGGACTTTAAGCTTGAGCATCATTTCGGGATAGCCAAGACATGCACTTAAATCGGAGAGAGAATTATTATTGGTGACCATGCCTGGTCAACAAGGGAAGAATATTTTTAAGTGATTCAGTTTAATTCAACCACATAGAAGAGAGTGGACCATTCAGCATCTTTTTATTCTTTGGGCAAAGAGCTGTAGAGTCCTTCCGGTTGGACAAGTGTATTCTATATTGATCCCAGAGTTGATGATGTTAGGGCCCACACATGGCTTCGTGACTTACAAACTCAATGAACAAAGTATTCTTTCTCTTCTATCTCCATTAAGCAATTCATCCTTTATTAAAAAAAAAAAAAAACCTCGAGTCTGAATAGTTCCTTTCCCCTTGAAAGCATCTACTTCCCTAGACTAGACAAAGTCAGGA